AGACAGTCGAAGCTGTCTTCAAACAATCGCACAAGTGCTGCTGATTTGCTGAGGAAAAATAGCCATGATAAACCAATCACATGACCAATTTAAGATGACATAGCAACAACCCGAGACAACCCTGAGTCTTCACTTTTGTGTTAAAAGTGTGTTGAAAGGCCACGTAAAACTAGAGTCATGATAAAAAATATATATTTAATGTTTTTTCCTGAATCGTTGTTTGTGTTTACTGAGGGAAGAAACAGTAAAAACTGCATTTTCTGTTCTACAGTACAGAAAATCTAAATTCATATTTCATATGTTACTGAAACTATATGGGCTAAATGAGGAGGTTACAGACTGTGTGTATGTGAACCGTGTATAGATCCACTCCTGTAATTTAAATGTGTCAGAATCAGGTTTTTAAGATGTCTGCTGAGTGGCTGAGCTGCGTCTGTCGGGACTTTGTCCCGTTTATCTGTGAGCTGAACAAACAGCTGCTTGCAAAGTCTCTGAAAACCTGGAAACGCTTGAATGTGTCAAATCTACCAATAAATTCTCCCTCCTGGACTTAGTGACACACACACACACACACACACACACACACAATCTAAGCTGCAGTTTTCCTTCCACAGACATGTGCTGCCCCCATGTGGCTAAAACTTGTAAGTTACTGTCCTCATGGCCTTATTCTTCAAGTGCCTGTCTCAGAATGGAGATGAGACCCAGTCAGACTAATCACAGCGATTTTATCTACACTTTGTAACTCACACACACTAAGACTATGAGATGAAATGTATTTGCTTGTAAGTGTACCAAAAAAATCTGACTGCCCACCAGCAGGAAAGCTGTATGTGGAACTGGACGGTGGGGCAGTTTTGCGTGATGTGCTTTAGCCACTAGGGAGCGCTGTGACACTGATCATGTTTGCTTAATGGAACAAATGACTTTTTCCTGTTTTCTGACATGTAGCAATCAGAGAGGACGGCATGCCCGGAGGGAGGAACAAAAGCATTGGACCTGTGCAGGTAAATGGACTGAAGGATTGTGTTGTTTGTGGTGCGCACCGACCTTTCCCTGGAGTCAGCCTGAGCATCATCGCTGCGGCTCAGCCTCTGAGGACTTGTGCTTACAGTAAACCCACTCAGATCACAAGCCATTAAATAACACAGAGCTGGAGTGCTGCAGTCCTACTCGTGGGGATGCTCATAATGAGAGCGAGCCCTGACCTTGTTATATCATCTGTGTAATTGTGTAGCAGCTGATTAGTCCCCATTCAGCGGCGCCTTTATTATTAACGTGAAGCGAGGGAACAAATGGTCAGAAAAATGTGTGACATGAGGATAAGTACCACTGAGCCGCTATTCACGGGGAGGGAGGCGCTCGATTCATTCGGGCTCAATTGAACGAGTCAAAACAGAGAAACGCGGCTTCCATTAAGAACCAGCGCCCTTAATGAAAGCGGGACCTTTCTGTCATGAATATGGAATGAAAACGCCTGTTGCAGTATTTGGGATGAACGGATGGAGATGAAGGTGAATTGACCTCCCTCAGACACGAGACGCGGTATGTGCAGGCGAGCTGAAGCCTTTCAGAATGGCTTTTGTCTGTGTTTTCTGCTCGTGCTGACCTGCACACATCTTATTATTTTAAGTGTGTGAATCATCCAATCAACCGCACACACACACACACACACACACACACACACACACGCCTCTTTTCTTTCTGTGTCATTATGTGATTGCGTCCTTGCTCCTCAGCATTTTAATGAAAAGCCGTGTGCTGTTAGTTGGTGCTGATCAATTGAACTGATGCACATGCATGGATGTGCTGCTGCAAACCTCCCTGTGTGTGTGTGTGTGTGTGTGTGTGTGTGTGTGTGTGTGTTCTAGATAACAGAGGAGGAGATCGAACGGATCATGTCAGGCCAGGAGTTCAAGGAGGACGCCCCGGAGCACACCTGGGGCAACAACGGCGACAGCGACCACAGCTCGCCAAGCAACGGCGCCTCGGAGGGCAACCAGCCGTCGCCTGCCTCCACTCTGTCGTCCAAGTGAGTCGTCGATCTCACCCGCTCAGCCCCATCTTTGAGATAACGAGCCGGCCCTGACAGTCTAACACCTCGTTCCCATCTCACCCAGACTTTAGTTAAAGTATTCATCGGCCACAGAATGCCTGAACATGCAGCTCGGGCTCGCTGATCACAACCAAACACAAAGAGCTCGCCGCACTATCTGCTGTTCTCGCTTGGAGACGAGCATATTGTCTATCTGCACTCATCAAGGACAAATATTGTCTAGCTACTTGCATGATGGCGTTTATTTTAGTCTCATTTTGTGTAAACATCAGGTTTTATCTCAGCAGCCTGAAAACTATTCAGGGGATGGCTTTTCTTTTTTTACGAGATGGAATTAAACCTTGCCAGAAAGCCTGCGTCGCCTGCGCTCGTGCACATGCCCAGAATGCAAAGTTTAGTCTGCGAGTTTGTGAAAAAATGCAAAGAGTTCGAAGCTGAAGCTCAGCACATCAGGGTGAGAAATGCAAACCCGACGTGTGAGCAGCCTGTTTTTGTCCCCTCAATGCTAACAAAATCTGCATTACTGTAACCTTTGACCTTTGTGTGCTTCCAGTCGCTCCGCTGAAATGAACGGCTACACGGCAGCCCTGCGGGACCAGTACATCAACACCTCCATGCCCACGCACTACCAGCTCTTGCCTCACCTGTTCAGCTACGCCGCCCAGTCTGGCCTGCTGGCCTCTCAGCCCCGCAACCTCTACCCACAGCCCCACCCTCTGGTGCAGCAGCTGGTGGCTGCTGAAGAGCTGGCCCCCCTGACCACTCCGATGCTTATAGAAGAAGAGTGAGTTCATACTCAGCGTTATGCGTTGTGTAGAGGAGCGCAGCTGGTTTCAGAAAGCAAAATTCTCAATTAGATATCATTTCGTAGCAAACAGTCCGTCCCAGTAAACCAAACATGTTAGTCTTTGTCTAATTGTACGTCGTGAACGTTGCCATTTACCTTGGTAAGTGAGAGGCAGGTGTGTTGGAATAGGAATTAGGCTCTTGTGGAGAACCTCTGTCAATATTTTGAGAGCCTGGCGCTCCAACAGGAGGATATTCTCTGAATATAAAGTTCATGCCACAGAGATCACATGTTTTTGGTCGTTGAAGCTGACTGTGTGAGGTTTCTTCATCATTTCTTCCACTTCCACATACACTGAAGCATCCCCACAGCATTCATTCCCACCATTCTTGCCTTGAAGGAGTCTCTTCTGCTAACGTGGAGCTACTCCTGTGAGCTCTTTGCTTTATTCGTTTCTCCCCTCCAAGTCTAAAGTGATTTGTTTTTGGCTTGATGCATTTTCATGTGGCAGCTCAAACTGCTGCCAACGTTTTTATAGTGCGTGTAAACTGGAAGATGAAACACGGTTTGTGCTGTGGCTCAATGAAAAGCTCTGTTGTTCACTGGGATAATAATCCTGACCATGATCAGCGTTTTATCACAAACTAATTCTAGTGTGAAAGTTAGAAATGCTCTGTTGACATTTCTTTGTCAAAATTAGAAAGGTTTGTGATTTTGAAAGTGCTGAAAATTTCTGATTACATCTGTGAGGGACGTGAAACAGGAATAAGTGAACTACAGCTGTGTTGTGGAGTGGGATGCTGATTTGAGCCACGTCAGGCCCATTTTGACATGATGAGAGTTTTCCTGCCCACCGCACATCTGTCTCGTTATCGTTTGCTCACTAGGTACAAGGTAACACAGGTGGAGCTGTTTGCTCTGCTGTGCCGTCTGGCAGACGAGCTGCTCTTCCGCCAGATCTCCTGGATCAAGAAGCTGCCCTTCTTCTGTGAGCTCTCCATAGAGGACTACACCTGCCTGCTCAGCTCCACCTGGCAGGAGCTCATCCTGCTCTCCTGCCTCACTATCTACAGCGGCCAGATCTTTGGAGAGCTGGCCGACATCACAGCAAAGTACACGCCATCTGACGACGAGGTTCAGGGGTGAGTGGCGAGTGCTTAAAGAGCAAAAGGAGAAAACAATCGGGGTCTTTTGTTTATGAGCTTTAGAATAAGTTGAATTATTGAATAGCCACAAAACACCCACATTTACTCCATTGAGTTTATAACTATTACAAACCTCCCCTGAGCTTCTCAGAGGTGCACAGAAGAAACGATATAAAAGATGGACACTGTGACGTCGTCCACTGGTTTCTGAGCTCTAGTTTGTTTTACCATCATCACCGTGGTTTAAAAAACAAACAGACAACAATAACTCGTCACGAGGAGGGGCAGGTCTGCTTGCTCATTGGCTAATCAGTGTCATTAGCCAATGAGCAAGTTGAACCCTTCTTGTTGAAGCATAGAATTACTTATATTTCCAAAAGAGACATTATTTTTGTTCAATAAAGGCCAAAAAACTCATCAGGAAAGTGTTTACAGAGGTCAAGTCTTTTTGCAGCTACAGCTATCGCCATCTGGTGGCCGTTATGGCATTTCTGCATTGACGTGCTTTTACCAAACTAGAAGCTGCAGTCAGCTGTGCTTCACTTACTGCTCTGAGAAACCTCGTTTCAGCCACGGCTGTTTTCTCTTTTTAGGGAAAGAGCTGTACGTTTACCCGCTAGCAGACAACTGATAGAGTTAGCAACTAGCTAACTTCTAAAGCAGATCTATAAGCAAAGGCAAGACAACAGGGCTCCGAATGATGGCTTACATTGCTATTTGTGTGCTGGTATTATAACAAGACAGCTGTTTGTAACTTTGTAACTGTAATTCAAATCATTTGTAAAAACTCTACAATAATAGTTTTTTGTAGAACCTTCTGCGAATGTTACAGTTACACTTTACTGGGTTAGCAACATAAATCAGTTGTTACTATTACCATTACTATTGAATATTGAACTGGCATATTTTGTACATATTATGTAAGCCTCATCCAGTCCTCTGTTTGTGTCACTAACAATGTTAGCTAGGTAGCTGGCACAGACAATGACCTTTAGATTGTGGATGTTTTCATATTGTTTTCTGTCATCAATAATCAAAATATTATCCAGCAGTTAAGGAGTTGTTAAGGCGGCTAACTGTTTAGGTGACAGTGCAGAAACAGCCAAGGCTAGCTTCTATGCTAACTTCTATGCTAGCTTCTATGCTAGCTTCTATGCTAACTTCTATGCTAGCTTCTATGCTAACTTCTATGGTAGCTTCTATGCTAACTTCTATGCTAGCTTTTAGCAGTAGAGAACTTCTGAATTACTATATTGTAACTTTGTAACAGAGACTACTTTAAAAGTAACCTTTCCAGACACTAAAGTTAAGTAGCTCAAGCAAGAACAACAACAAGTGATCTTAGGCTACGTCTACACGTACACGGGTATTTTTGAAAACGGAGATTTTCCGTTTTCGTTTTAAAAAATAATCCCATCCACACGTAAAGGCAGAAATGAAGGAAAACGCTGCTAGGAACATGCCAAAGCAGCAGGTGGCGCTATATTCCTAACCTGTAGATATGTTGGCCAATCAGAAGTCTAGAAGCCTCGGTGGGAAAAAGTAAACAAAGCTGGGGCATAGAAGCAGAACCGAGTCGTATGTGTGGAGGGACAGTAACTGTGTGTGTATATGTAAGCATTTAAACACTGCAGAGAGAACAAGTAACAGTAACAGTATTGTAGAAATTCATTTCACCGAAACAATAACGTGGCGCACAGTGCGACGTCAAAAAAGGCGCACACCTTTGACGCTGCGTTTTTTGCGTTTTCTCAGTCTTTCTCGTCCACACGTAAATGCAAAAACTGAGTTATCAAAAATATCCACCCTGGCCGGAGTTTTTAGAAATCTCCGTTTTCAGTGACCAAAAACGCCGTTTACGTGTGGACGAAAGGTGCAAACGCATAGAAAAATCTGCGTTTTCAAAAATACCCGGGTACATGTGGACGTAGCCTTATTCTATAGTCTTGACATTGATACGTAGCAGAAAGAAACTTCATTCATTCGTTCTGTTTTGGTAATTCAGCCTCACCCACAACAGTCACAGTAGGGCTGTTTCACTATACGATATTAAATGTTTCTTTTTAGTCTCTGGGAGCTGTGCTAATTCAGTATTTCAGTAGAAATGAGAACAGCAATCAGGAATTCAACGTTCCCTCTGCACAGCCAAGATGTTTCACTTTGTGAGCTCATCATCTCTAAAAGGGCTTAATATTTTTCTCCAAGTGTTATTGCTGGGTGAGGCCCAGTGAAGTGGTCCGTGAACAGGAGGCCTCCTCAGAGCTGAGCTGTGGCTAGCACTGTCTGGCATGTGCACTATATACGCTTGTTTCACTTGAAGTAGAAAAGGATGCGTGGGGGAAGAGGGGGAGTGTTCCTGTGTAAATCAAACATGTATAATGTGACCTTCTGACACATTCTCCTAATATAACTCTGCTGCTTCAGTCAATTTGCCCACAGTTTAGTGGTTTTAGACGTGGACGTTTGATTTACAGTGGCATTGTTGAAGTTTGTGAAAGAGATTAGAAGTGCAAGGCAGAAAATTGATGTTTAAAACGTGGAATGAACTTATGAATCTTCTCTTCAAAAAGCTGTGGAATCAGCAGGACGCTTTAAGCACTTTTAATAGATCTGACATATTTCCTCCCTCATTTTCTTTGCCTTGTCCATCGAAGCATGGAAGCTTAAGATAGTGGTGCTGAGGGGATTTTTGTCTTCTTTTTTAATGTGGATTGTAGTGAGGACAGCAAACCCACATAAGTCTGTCTCATGGTTTGAGTTGGAGCCTTAAAGGCACCGTCTAGCTTCATAGATCTGCAGTTTCCAGCTTACCTGACAGGTCTGTGTGTGATTCCTCAGATTCAGCGAGGATGGGATGGAAGTAATGGAGAGGTTGATCATTCTGTTTCGCAAACTCCACCAGTTAAAGATCAGCAATGAGGAGTACGCCTGTATGAAAACCATCAACTTCCTCAATCAAGGTAACAACAAAGTCTCCAGCGTGTTGACGTTTTGCCATCGCGACCTTCCCCGCTTGACTGTGATGGTTTCTGCTCCACAGATATCAGAGGACTGTCCAACATCTCCCAGCTTGAGCAGCTGAATAAACGCTACTGGTGTGTGTGTCAGGACTACATCGAGTCCAAGTACCCACTGCAGCCTAAACGCTTCCCTGAGATCATGATGTGCCTGCCGGACATCCGCTGCATCTCAAGTAAGGCCTCAAAGAACTGACTTCAGAAATGCACTCAGATACTCATATGTTAGTTTGTTTGAGCTACAAAAATGTGATACTATCCAGTGTGTTGTGCCACACCGATTTATATTCAGCCATGAAAGTCGAAAAGCCTGTGTTTCAGTTTGTGCCCTTACGACCTGTGTTGTTCCCCGCCCTCTACAGTGCCTTGTCTTTGGGGAAAAACACTGAAATTACAAAAACCGTTGCAAAATTTTATGTTTAATGAATTATTTGGTTAAATTATTTGAGCTAATGGGATAAAAGAAAGCATGGCTTTTGTTATTAAGACAAACTATAATAAGTGCATTAACCCTGTAAGACCCAACCCATCAAAAATAGCCAGAAAATTCAGATTTTTTGGAGCTGAGATGTTTAATAACCCTTATAACAAAATCCACAACTTTTATTTTGCTATATCATGTTGCTTATGGTTTATTTTTTGTATTCCATTTGATACATTTGGCTTTTTTCTTTTTAACAACAATGTTAATTTTAAAAAGCTGTCCATAACATTTTGAAATTATGGCAAGTATTGATCATGTTGATGGGTTAAAGCTTGAATCACAATCTAGTTACTTTTGTTTTAGCTTATTAATTAAATCAAACACAATCAACTTTTCATTTTTCTGGTAATAAATACAATCATGGCCAAACCTTTGGATAAATAGGTTTTTTGAATGATTGGTCGAAACAAGTAATCTAAATAAAAACTGTGAAATAAATGCTACTGCCAGTAATTTTGACTAGGGCTGGGCGATATGACCCACAATTCATATCTCGATATTTTTTTAAAAGCCATAAAGTAAGAACAAAAAGAGAGTTCTTAGTCAAAGCTGTGTCCCAGATGTCACACAGGCACTTTTATTAACATACAGCATAGACATGTACATGTAAATAATTACTCAAAAAATAAATTATGAGCATTTATTAAATAATAATGCTCCATAAATAAAAGAAAACTATGTTGTTTTTGTGCATAACAAAGAGCTCACAATTGTGCAGTCAAAATGTAAACTAACAGACTCTGAGCATAATAACATAGACACACAGCTGCTCTATTCCCAACTTCTACTGCGTAACTGACAGCCTGGAGTTTGAAATCCGCTTCAGGTGCCATTTATGGTCCTTATATACACACAATACGGTAATATTACCTTGACGCACAGTACGTATCACTCCGCGAGGCTCCTCGGTAGCCGTAATGCCCCGACAATCCGTCAAGCCGGTGCAGCTCTGTAGCTTACCAAAGTCGTACTAAAATATTTTTTGACAGATTGCTGAGCGCCGTGTTCCACATAAAATCGGTTCGCGGTCATCAAGCACAACCAGAATTCATACAAAAGGCGCGCTGTCGATTTTTGAGAAAATGAAAGGATTTTAGGCTGTGCAGCGCCTCTGGGCTGCATGGCGTTAGCGCGGTTAGCTCGTTAGCGTGTTTAGCTCGTTAGCGCGGTTAGCTTGTTAGCGTGGTTAGCTCGTTAGCGTGGTTAGCTCGTTAGCGCGGTTAGCTCGTTAGCGTGGTTAGCTCGTTAGCACGTTGACGCCGTCCAGCCCCACGCACGGGGCGATGCGCAGTAACTCGTTAACGGAGATTTGCCGTGTCCATCTTGTCGCTGCCTGCAGGTGAAGCGATGGGGGAGGAGGGGGAGTTGTGTTCAGTGAAGGCGAGGCAGAGTAACGTTGGGTAGAGACAAAAGTAGACGAAAGAGAGGCAAACTTGTGGCTCCACAAGTATAATTATAATGTAACATAGACTATCGATATAAAGGATGTTGTCACATCTTATATCTCGTATAAAAATATATCGATATTTTTAAAAAACTCGATATATCGCCCAGCCCTAATTTTGACCATGACCAACTGTAAAGTAGACGTAACTGAACCAAAACCAGCTTCATAAGTTCTAAAAAAGTAAATGGCCTCAGTAAAAATTGTGACAAAGAAAGGTAGTTAGATTTTGTACACGTAACCTGTTTAACACGAGCTGGGCACACTGCTGGAGCCAGCCTCTAGTGGCCGCCAGAGGAACTGCAGCATTCGGCACTTGGGTCTGCTTCATTTGTCTCGCAGGTTGCCTCCTGGACACGACTGTGACCAATGAAAATGTCGGCTGTACAGAAGCTAAGCTAATCATGAACTAAAGTGCCGTGTGTCTCGGGTTTCTTCTCAGCAAAGCTGGTGAACGTCCCTCTGGAGCAGCTCCCTCTGCTGTTCAAAGCAGTCTTGCACTCCTGCAAATCCAGCATGACCAGCTACAGGACCGGCCCGTCGCCCTGCGTGACCGACTCCACCGGAAACTAAACCCTCCCCGACACCCGAGTCGAGGACTGGTCTCCCCTCTCGTGAATGTGACAAGCAGCTAGTTTGTTTTTTGTAACTTTTTTCTTTATATATTTATTACACGACAGAGCTGAATGTATTCTGATTTACACTGTGCACATGCTTCTGTACAAAACAAATGCTCGTAGATGCATTGGTCTTTGGAGTTTACAAGCGTGTTTCCATTTTGCTCCATGTGTCAGTGTTGCCATTGTTAGAGCTAGACTTTAAAAGAGTTTATTTTATACAGATGGGGCGCCTAGGCACGCGCGACGAGTGTTTTGAGACTACCTCAGGAAGATGTTGTTGCTATTTTCAGGTACCTTTTCTTACTGTTAAATGAAGAGTTGCCCAGTCTAAACCAAAACCCTGTGGATGCTTTGGTACCTCAATCAGAGATGAATGTTCAAAGAAGCTGCATAAATCAGTCTGAAAAACAGTTTTTTGTTTGAAAATGCAAAATGAATTAGCAAAAGTACTCAGACATCCTGCTTTTAGGAGGCGGTCTTGTCAGTTTAACATTCCATGAGTTAAGGTGGCAGTTGTTGGATCTGTGGGATCATCGAATAGGAGCATACGGGTATTTTTTAACAATCATAGACTAGGGATGTAAGGCTTTATTGCAGGGGAAGGGCGGATAGCTAGGTTTGCTGTTTTTCTTTTTGTTATGTTTCTCTCTTGACCAAAGTGTTATGCAAAGATTATATCAAGCGCCCGCTGATGGGTAGGGAGCTGACAGCTCAACAAAACCCTTTTCTTATCCGTGAAGGACGAGGATAAGAAATGAATCAGTCTGTTTCAGAGGCGAGACGCTCTGCAGGACAGAAAAGTTCCACATTTCATTGCAAACATGCGCGTTTTCTCGCGTGCACACATACGCACAGAGCAGACATGATGGCTCTTCATTGCCAAGAAGATGGTGCATTTCCACCTGCTCTCGACACAGCTGGGTATATGTGGTTAAAAATGTGCGAGCTTCACGGGTGAAAGTGACACACACCGATCAGCCACAACATTGAAATATCGGGGAGGTTTCTGATGTGTTGGCACATTTGGGTCGCGTCACGATAACGCTTCCTGCAGGTTGAATTTTGAGCTTGATTCAATTTGAGGACTTTGGAGAGCAGGTGAACAAACCACGCCTTCCCCTAGTCCCGGGGGAGACAGCTGGTACCGGGGCACGCCATCATTTTTATCAAACACCACATTACTGATTACCCAAGGTTAGCGTTGGGTTTTTTATTTGGGTGGTTGGATGTTATTGTAACCCTAACCCTATATTTGTTGGCTGCACACTCAAGCTCTCCCAGCAGAGCTTTGCATTGTAACAAGGTAACGATTACTGGTCACTTCACCTGTCCGGGGTTTTGATGTTGTGGCTGCTTGGTGTTGCCCATCTTAGTGGCACCCACTGAAACCAACCATTTAAAAGAATCAGTGTTTATTGATCCATCCGTTTTGCTAAAGAGGTTCATTTCGATTTTTCAAAACTTCAAAGTTCTATTGGCCAGTTTTGAAGGGCAATCAAACGTTTTTAGATGTAGAATGTAAATCCGACCACACTTGGTTTCCACGGGCATCAGGCCGCGTGGACATCCGGGTACGGTCCGACTTTTTAAATGAGATGAAAGTGAAAATATCATTTATGCAGAACTGGCTTAAAGTTGAACGTCTAGTCGCTTTAATCCAGCCGTAAGTGGACTCGGTGTGATCGACTCAATCAGTTTAGGCCAGGTTTGGAGAATTTTAGGGGATATACCCCTGGCTTGCATACCCACAGATATGCACGTCGTTTTAAAAAGTGTAGCCACAGAGAAATGGTCTTTATTTTTAAAGTGTGAGATGATCATTTCCGATCACTTGAAGTGTCTTTTTTGGCCATTTCACAATTTGCGTCATTTGAAATGCAGACAAAGCGCAGTCCCCGCAACCACTTCCTTTTTTGCACACGACAGTGAGGTTTGGAGACCTTAACCCTTGATCTTGGCCACTGCCCACCCAACGTGTTCCTCTCTCAGGTCCCTGCTGACCTGGATATATACAGGGTAAAGTGAGTGTTATGTATTGCATTCAGGAGTTCGTCAGTGACCATACTGACGAACTTGTAGTATTAGTAGATGTAGCTTCCAGGACGTTGTAGGTCCTGTTGTAGAAAGGTGTTTTTGTTTTTTGTTGTTTCAACTTTATTCCCCTCACGGTCCCCACCCCACCCACACTCCCCTTCAGTGGAAGTGGGATTAGTTTGCAGGGCAGGTTTTCTAAAGCTCTCGGCATTGATGACGGACGAAGCAAAAGGCGGCGGCATCTTTCCGATGTCACGGCTTCCCTCCCATCGTGCGCAGCCTAACGAAACCACAGTCCAATCCAGCGTTGCTTCTTGTAATGCTTCAGTTAGCCTCTTTTGATTTTTTTGAATGCTTTAATGTACCTTTTGTAGTTTATAATTAAGAATGTCTTTTTAGCTTTTTTGGGTTTGATTTGGAGTGAAGACAACACCTATCATTTTCTTTGGCTGATTTCTTCATTGTTGTTGTTTGCGTTCACTTGTTCACTGTGTTCATTAAAGAAAGTATTACTCAGGCTTTGTCAGCAATGCTTTACATGCACGCTGCTGACATTTTGGATTTTTAAACCGTTTAAACCTCAAATGTTGTGCTGTGGCGCCGTCTCGTGTTCGTCCATCAGGTGACCAGCACACCGCACGGGGGTAGGGTTACGTTTGAGCCGCGTGCCAGACGAGCACAGTTTGATAAACTCTTAGGGTCCAAAGTTAATCTTAGATGTGAACCTAACAGTTACCATGGTAACCAGGTTACTATGCACCAGCGAACCACTCGGGTCCACATTTTCAGAAAGTCTAAGATGTTTAAATTCTTCAGTTTTGTTTCAGGTTGTATAAAAACAGCCCTGACCCTTCTCGGGTCGCTGGCTAACTGCTGGATGTTCAGATTCTGCAGAGATGAACAAAACCATTAAATGTTGCCTTTAGCGCTGCTGAAAGGTTTGGCTTCTAGCTCGAGATAGCTGCCTCCCTCCCAAACAACTGATAGTGTTGTGTTTTTAAAAAACATACATGTAGAGGCAGCATTCCTCCACATGTATTAACTGAAAACATTCAACCAAACTATCTGACAAGATTACATTATCATGTAGTTTTGGTGAGCCGACCCTTTAGATCACAGCATCTCAGGACACTTCTGTGTACCAAAGGTCTCACTGTGATGAAACGGCACTCAGAAACCCTGTCAGGCTGCAAAATGACTGGAGGAATGAACATCACTGAGATCTGACAGTGGAGCAGGATCTGAGGGGCTTCTCCTCTAATGTGATGCCAAACAATATCTGCTTATCAGCGGTGAATCCCATCTTTACTGGCAGCACTCTCACTTGTTCGACGTTACAGTTTGATGCACCCACGCTGGTGTCTTTTTTCACTTCCTGTGTTTGTATTGGTTGTGTGCAGACAAAGGGATGTGTCGTTTCTAAACTACCTCTGTATTTCATGTTCATTACACCAATGTTTTTTATGAGTTGACCTCACATGTGAACCACCAACACTTGTTTTCTTCTTCGTAGCCTCGTACTCTACCTCAGGTACTTTTAGGGACGCTCTTCCTCTTTTGTTTCTTTTTTTTAATGAGCTGTTTCATGTTAGCATCATCTTATATTTCACTCCTACCCTGTTATCAAAAATCACATACCAAAGATGAACGAATGTCAATGACAATGTCAGTGCACTGATTAAGCCTTCATGTGTTGTGTTCTTGCTGAAGTTAACCAGTGTTGCATTTTTCCACGTTGACCTTATCCAAATATGCATCATTATCTGTTGAATTTGCTGTATTCACCATACCGTGATAATCCTGTGTGCGCGTGCACATGCGTGTTTGATTGGTGTTCGTTGGTGAAGCAGAGAACACACTCAGTATTATTCCACAGCAGCCGGTGCTGCATGTGATCAGTTGTCAATCGCAGGATGTAACTGTGCTCAGGCTGACTCCTCCTCCGGTTTGCTCACTCGTGTAACTGTAACACTGTGACCACAGCTGGACAGACCGCCGTGGTGTGAGCACCGGGGCTGGACACACACTCAGGCTCGCTGTCCTGCTGTTAAACGGCCGTTAACGCCATCAACTTATTTGTAAGTCACGTTCCTACAGAAACAGCTTGTATTCACCACACTTTCTATATAAAGCTCGTCCCTTTAGTTTTCATCTGAGAACAGCAAGTGGGTGTGGCTTCTAAACCAGAGCCAGAGATGACCATATTAGGGATTCCTGTTCAAACTGACTTCATACATGTTGGTGGGCCTGGAGCGTTGTGTTTTTACGCAGACGCACACACACAAATAGACATTTAGGCCCATATTGCTCGTCCTGGATGGAGCTCCATCCCCTAATTCGCTGTAACTGACACACTTTAGACAGACAGCAGGTGTCCAGCTGTCAGCGCTTTGTTACAGGCACACGAGGAGCACACCGGCAACACATCTCAGGGAACAAACCGATTCATACACACTCATCAGAAACTGAAACGCCATTTATGTCTTTTCTCTTCAGAAATCTCTTGTCTGCTCTGTTACTTTAACTACCTGTGAAGAATGTGATCCATTATGTGTTAAAAGCATGTTTAGAATGTGTTAGGACTTGAAACTAAATAAATGTGAACATTATGCAAGTGCACTCGGGCTAACTTCCAGTTTCTTGGCTTTTCTACGGGGAAGATGATAGAAACTAATGAGAGCGTGTTGCATTCAGTCACTGATAGGCAGAAGGTCTGCCGTTAAGAGCCGAGGGGACGGGAATTTGGATGCGTTTGTCCCTGACCTTCTGCTTCGTGTACTCCAGTGTGTTGTTCACAGCGAGATAGTATTATTAGGATAAACACAAAGTGTGTTTCAGCCTGGAACATGCCAGGTCTGCTCATTTACTGCAAGTCATGGCAACAAATACTTATTTTTAAGCAATCTTCAAATATAATGTGCTGATAACAATCATTTGCCTGCCGTTGTTTCATAAATGCAGCTTTAAAATATTTCTTATCCATCCGGGTCCCGAACCCTGCACATATAGAAACAGACTCATCCCACATTCACCATCCAGCTGCTGTTTGAGTAACAGCTGCTAAAACTACAGCAGGTCAGTGGTGAGTTTATGGTCTGAGTCACTAGTTTCATGTGTTACTGAATAAAATATTAGATTTTTGAAATGAGGTGACTTTTGTTGTGATTTGGCACTATATAAATAAAATAGAATTGAATTGAATGTTGCCCACCGGAGTCGGTAATATTTAATGATTGTGTACTACAGTGTCACAGTCAGAGCCATTCATGAAGTGTGGTTTCAGATGGTGATGACCAAAGCTCATAGTTTGAGCCCGAGCGTGCTGATCGACTCTTTCATTACCACACAGCACTGGAGTGTTAAAAGAAATGATTTTAAATACTAATCTGTCACAACATGGAGAGCACTGAACCATCGTGGCAAAAACATGGCGATGTGGATTTTGACAAACTGTCCTGGGTTACAGCAGAGGTCCCCGACCACCGGGCCGGACCGGCATCGGACTGTGGCTCATTTTGTACTGAGCTGCAAAGAAATAACAAAAAGGGTTTTATTTTAGTCTTTGGGGTACTTTAGTTTACAGTTTACACACACACACACACACACACACACAGGTCCTGGCCTCTCGTTCCTCACATTTGAGTTTGTGGTTCCTGAGCTGTTGGTTTCCACAGTATGTTAGACAAAGAATGTAGTACAAAACATAAATTATGGTCCAATTAAAAGCTTCATACAGTACAGATATAAAATCTAAACTGCTGTTGACTAGTATATGCATTGTGACAAACGGGCCTCAGTGGAAGAAGCATACAGCCACAATCTGGGTTACCAGAAGATCACAACAACAACAGTGAACTGTTTCATCCTCACAAATGTAGCAACAGGCTTTCCAGCTGTGCAGGATTTATTGTTACAACAATGATCAAACCCAAATGTTCTTACTTTCTTTGCTGGGCTTAGTAGACGTCTACGATCTTACCAGGTTATATTAGACTGAAAGAATAGCTCACAGGATACCAAATGTATCATCACTTATAGTGTCATTTGCAACACTTTATAGAATAAAAGTAATGTAACATAAAGCAGTTTATTATATTCACCTTTATCACTCAGAAATCACATTTTAAAAGTATAATATTACATTAGGTTTGTTATTTGTTACAAACAAACCTCAATAACTCTGCAGTATTTTACTTTATGATTGTCTAATGATGGGAATAAAGACCCAGTGTCCTGTCGGCTCTTTGGCTCATAATAAATCCCTCGTATCGTGACTTGGGCTGTAAACTGTAGAGCAGATGCAACCACGTGGTCAGATGTGGTTTGATTACAGTTTATGGTGTAGTTTCCAGGGCAACAGATGATCCCGTACATGCATCATCCTCTAAGCTCAGTGGCACTATCTAAAGAGCTGTGGTGATGTCATTTGGTATATCACAACACTGCATTGCCAAAATTGTTCCCTCATCCATCCAAATAATGAAATTCTGGTATTCCAATCATTCCCATGGCCACAGGTGTGCAGACTGCATGAATGAGTCGCTCTCAGGAGCTGGTACCGTGACAGGAAGCCACCTGTGCAACATGCCCAGAAATTTCCTCGCTACTAAATTTTCCACAGTCATACTGCAGTTATAACAAAGTGGGAATGTTTGGGAATGTTCTCTGGGTACCTCAGCTTTGTGCCACTGCTCACAGACATGCATGTTACACTAATCGCCATCTCTCTGTGAGAGACTGGCAACCCATCCAGGATGTACCCTGCTTCTTGTCCCATAATAGCTCTAACAGGCTCTGGTCCCCGTTCTTACCCTGAAATGACAAAGGGTCAAATAATTCAGCAAGGCAGGTGTGCAGAATCCATCCATACACATCCAGTGCAGCAAGATGCAGCTGCTTCTCAGCATATATGAAAGAATAAAAGATTTAAAAAGAAGAGGCCTCGTCCAGCAGGGTTTGGTATATCATCTACCACCCAGCTCTCCTCTGGAAACTGACTGGTACTTACACCTTTGTACTCAGCTGATCATTCACACAGTGACCAAGCGGTTTGTAATTCTTCTCTGGGGTTCATTACGCTGCCCAAGAAATTAGAGATCGATTCAGCGACCTAACACTTCACATTCAACCTACTTTAAAAATATTCTTCCTGTTTTGTTGCTGAACACATGTTAAAGTGCACACACTCGTGCACACAGTTCATGTTGTCAGTGAGTGATGGCTCTAAGTGGGGCTGCTGATTGCATCATGAGCGCAGAGCAGGCTGGAGGTCCAGGAGACATCGCTTTATCTCCTCAAGGCTGATGGAGTGGCTTTTAACAGGTTGTCCTAACCCTCCTACCCCCAACCGCCCGCCACCCCAACTAGCCTCTAATCAGATCACAGCTAGTCAAGGCTGCCGATTCCCTTGGGCACAACACCACCACTGACAACTGGAGGGCTAGCGTGGTGGGGGTGTGACAGGAGGGATTTCAGACGCGATTATGTAAGAGCCCAGAACCTGAGGCTTACTATCTGCAGAGATAACCATCTTTCTGCAAAGGCGTGTTTATTTGCCTCGTGTGTTGGTGTTTCTGGTCTCACCTTGGCACACAGCATCACACGCTGCCCTTCACAAATGCTAGCCA